CACGAATTCAACTAAACGCACTAGAATCCGAATCTTTAATAAATTCACCTGGAAATATTGATCAAGATATTGATACATTTCTAGATGAACTTGTATCAAGGCTAAAAAAATTCGAAAATTCCAAAGGTATCAACATTATTTCTAATATTCAACTAAGACCTCCTTTGTCGGAACATAATACAAATCCCCAAATTATCTCAAGTGACAACACTGTTCACAGCGGTAATGCAGATCAAAACTACTCGGAAATGACCCTTCTAGATGAAATCATCAATAATAAACCTAGGCAATTGATTATTTAATAATCACCTTACGATTCATACACTAAAACATCTCAAGATTTATTCGATGGACACAAAATTATTCACGCAACATTGTCTTTAAGCATTCAAAAAATTTGTGACTTTCTAAAAGAGTATTTAACATCTCCTACTATGCATGTTTACTTTTTTTCAAAAGAACTAAGAAATTACAAACAAATATTTTCAACAAGTCATGACAAACAACTTTCAAAATTGCAAATTAATAGAATGTACAAAACTCATCAATAATGTCAAAGAAGACGAGAGGATTCTATTAATCAAGCACAGGCACGAAGGTAAGACAAACCACCGTGGAATAAAAGAAACAACAAAATTTCTAAAATCCAATTATTACTGGAAATCTTTAAAAACTGACGTCTCGAATTACATTAAGAACTGTGAAAAATGTCAACGGTCCAAATATGATCGAAGCCCTCCAAATGAACCCCTAGCACTTACTGAAACACCTAGTAAACCATTTGAAATAGTTCACGTAGATACTTTTATTGCAGGAACCCAAAAATTCCTAACATTGTTTGACAAATTCTCCAAATTTGGACAAGCTCTTCCTTACCATGACAACGCAGTATCTTGTTGTGAACAACTTCTCAAATTCTTTTCATTCTTCGGAGTTCCAAGAAGCCTCATTTCAGACAACGGCTCAGAATTCAAACATGGAAACAAGGACTTTAAAAAGTCATAACATCAAAGTACATTTTACTACCCCTCATCACCATGAGTCAAATTCACCTGTGGAACGTTTTCATTCCTCTCTAATTGAACATTATCGTCTTTTACGAGTTACAGATCCAGAAAGTGAAGTTTCTAATCTAATGCCTTACGCTTTAATCGCGTA